TATGTCCATTTAGTCGTAAGCATAAACGTGCGCGAACTAGAGCGGGATCAGAGTCTACGCACGTGTTTCAAAACGAGCGGCAGTCTTCCACTGACCCTCGCGAGCGATAGCCTATCTCTATGTGGTTTATTTGAGTCCAGTGTTGATTTGGTGATGGAGGTTGCCAGGTTACACAATGTCTCTCTTTGTGCCTAGAGTTAGTGCTGACTAGGAACAGATAATTATCTGAGCAGAACTGTAGAAGACGATAACCGTTGTCGGTTCGTCGGCAGGGAACTCCGTACGTACCACCGACATACCTCTCAGTCTGGCACAACTTCCCTACTTGGGCATTGAAGTCCCCTGCTAAGACAACAATATCTGAACGGCCTGCTTTTTGCAGCAAATTAGACAGTTTCAGGTAGAAATCATCCTTACGTTCATCCGAACTGCAATCTGTTCGCGTGTTAGCGGATGCTACGAAGAGAAAACGACGGGTAACGTCGTCTTTCCTTCTTCTAACGTACCCATTCAGACGGACCGCACATATACGAATATCTACTGGGATACAGTCAGGAAGGGATTTTCCTGTCCTAACACTCAATGCTATCCCTACACCTGCGACCCTTTGAGAACTGGCTGAGGGGTCTCCTGACACTCTTAAAGTGAATTTTGCAGATTCACCTTGTTGGCCGGGTGGGGTTAAATGAATGACCACACTCGGATCTTGTATGCGTGTCTCCGAAACACAACATACATCCATGGCTCGAGATGCCAAAGTTCTTGCTAGTGATGTCTGTTGTCCGATTTGGCAAAGGGTGCTGACGTTAAATGCTCCTATATGAAGTTGGTGACGTGGCTTTAAAGGGCTATCTGGGGTATTTCAATGGCTCGCATCGTTATTTGTGGTCACAGAGTGAAGTGAAGATGACTCACTAGCCTGAACAATAATACTAACTGTAATACGAAACTTCATGCATGTAATACGAAAATAAGATGATGATGATGTGGGTAGATGAGAATGATGCTCAGAGAGGCTTCGTGTGCTCTTGGAAGTGTGTGGGCTGTTGCTACTTCCCGCCCGGCTGCCCACACCGTGGAAGATGTTTGATTCTTCGGGTACCTGAAAGAGGGTGACCACAAAGCCCAGGAGACAACTGATTGAGGCCGACCAATTACACACGGCCTGTATGAACTGGTTTCTTGGTTTGGTTCCGTATTAGTAAGCTTACCGCCGGTTACGGACCACCGTAGGGTAAGTCGGGATGTATAATTTTCGGGGTCGATTTTTTCTAACCCCCTCTCTTCAGAGTGGAGAGACAGCATAGCTGGCATGCTGGTCATCTAAGGGAAACACCTCACTGCTGTTAGATCCCTGTTCCCCAGCAGTACGACTTCACCCACAGATCCCTGGAATAGTATAAAAAAAACATTCTCACACTATGCCGGTAACTGCTTTTAGTCTAATCACTATCCTAACAACCTTCCTGACATGGTAGGACCTCCAGGTACAATAGTACCAGCCAATGGAGCTTGTTGGGTCATTGTGATGTGCAAGCCCGACCACCAAGTCAAGGTAGCAGCTATCGGTCAGGTCATTATAAAAGTAACACACACATGTCAGTGTCCCCAGGAACAAGACAAAACTATGTGACTTTACTGCCCTGCATTACCGGGGAAAAAGTGGGAGAATAAATATCAAACATTACTGAGACTCTCAAGAAAAATAACTATCCAAAGTAATTCATTAACAAAATCAAACCGACATTAAATATGATTGAAAACGTATTTCGAAGACATGGGCTTCAACTGTTGTCATTCCATATACATCAGAGACGCCAGACGATAGATATCAGAAGAGTACTCAATAAGCACAACATTAGAGTGTCCTTCAAAACATCAGAAATGCACACTGCAAAGCAACCGTGTTCATGTAAAAGACCAAATCTCTAAAGATTCTCTGTCTAATTGTGTCTACCAAATAAAATATTCGGAATATGATGGGATAATATACATCGGACAAACATCGCTAGAGAGAAATCAAGGTAATCAGAAGAAATGAACACCGTAGAGCATCTGTACGACCACCGAGTTAATCCAGTTGAACTAAAAAAAAGCATCAGTCGCAAGTCGCCTACACGCCATGCTGTAGAATAAATCAGGTAACAAAATTGATTTTGACAATATTGAAATCATCATCCAGAAATAGTTTCAGAAATCACAAATAACGTCTTATATCATTAGAAGCACTTTATATCAAATGGAATCCAAATTGTCTGAATAGGAAATGATGGGCTAAAAGAGAATTTGACCCATGAAATAACAAAATCAACACAAATGTGATAAGCAATTTCATTATGTAAACACATGCTACTTTTGTATAATTTTACACACTTATCAAATCCAACAATCTATACCTGGTTTTGTTATCTTTACCGATTGTCCAACTTCACAACAACGTAAAGAAAACTACCCCATGCCGAGGAACAATGATTAAGTTGTTCTACATAATCTGAGATTTTGTAAATTCTGGTTTAATAATACTTTGATAAAGATATTAGTAGCGAAACGTCAGTAAATACGAGACTATATTATTTTGTTTTTCATTCATTAGGGGATAGAAAAAGAACTTTTATAATAATGTTAGTAGTCAGATAATATTTTACGAAAAAAATTGCACAACTAAACTAAGATCAGCATCTAGAGATATGATGATTAAAATACCGATGGTCAGTTCAAAAGAATCAAATACAACAACAAGCTTGGATAACACTGAAGTATTAACTTTCATTTATCTGATATAAGAATTCATAAACGATAGTATAAAGTTTGAAGCATATCACTGACTGACATGACTTGGTACTTGGCGTGAGAATTGAAACTTGAAACATTAGTCAAGCGAATGCTTTTTATTTATATTACTATTATTGTTGTTCACTTGGGTTCCGAGTGGAACGTAGGGCTGGCCTCCAACAACACATCTTCTGCTGTCCTCTTCAGCTGGCTAGCTCCACGATTGACCATAATTTTTCATCTCCCCCTCCACCTCCTTGCCACACGATCTCCTCCATTTCATCCTAGCACCAACCATCCACTCGTCCGTCGCTTTTAATGTGAATTCTACTCTAGCGATGGCCTGCACTGAGCGCAATGTCATTCAACAACCCTCCTCAACGCATGCCCGATCAATCCATCTCTAGTCCATTTCTCCTAAATATCTGTTGAGCGATCGGCTCTTGCTCTGTTTTTTGGTTTGTTCCACTGCAGTTTCTTGTTACTAATTCTTTCTGGCTATTTGATCTTCAGTAGGGAGCGAAGGCAGCTGTTGATGAAAGTCTACAAGCTGTTGGAAATCCTTTTCGTGACGCACACACAGTGCAAGTTTCTGACCCGTATAGAAGGATTGATTTTACATTGGTGTTGATATTGATGACATTCTAAATTGTGGTGGACTGTATTAAGCGTCAGACTGTTAGCGGGCGCGAGGAGACAGGAATACCCTGGACCACCGATAACAAGACACTAGAAGATCTAGATTTTGCCCGTGGATGATATGTATCTAATATTAAACAAACTTGAAGACTTACAGGCGAAAACTGGCAACAAACTGGCTGGCAGCGAAGACACGACTCCACCCAGGTGAACGTGGAGACGGTGATGAAGATAACCAACGAACAGCAGCAACAGCAACAACAACAACAACCAGCACTAGTCACTATCAACGGGAGATTTAACAGGTTACCTTCTTCACTTATCTGGTGGCTAGGCAGCATAATTTCAAGTACAGGCGGAACGGATGAAGATGTCAAAGTCAGAATCAGAAAGGCAAGATATGCATTCATCAACCTGAAACCAGTTTGGAAACCTTCTCCAGCATAAACAACAAGATTCGGATTTTCAACACCAATCCTTCATATTTCACATTCGTCAAAAATATTGAACCATAGGTACACATTATATTATGTTTCAGTTCTTAACCAAGAACAGCAATAACCCACAATAAATTCTAACACCCAGTAGTAATAAGCAAAGATAAACATAACTGTGGTGCTGTTTTTTCCTGATTATTTAGTTTTAATGACACTATTTTATCAAATGTATCATATAAAGAATAGAATCATCATCTTGTGGTGGCAGCTGAACACTTTTCAGACTTTGTGTCTTACTGAGATACCATAATTTCCATTCAAATCGATTAGGATATTCCAAAATCTTAACCTCCCGTACTTACACCAAGGAAACTGATAACAGCCAGTTACGACAATCTCATTACAACCTTTGATACCTAAACTACTGCCTGAAGCTAAGTTGCCAGACGCCCAAAATCTTTCAACGCTGAAATACCTGCGTATTTGCTAGAGACTACCACTACAGAAGTGGATGCGGTAAGTGGATAAAGGCATTGGCTGTTGGTAGGCGTGATAATGTCACGGTTGGACCAAAGACATGGACACTAGATATATGTAGAGCAGCTACAACAGAATTCATCTCTGGATAAAGGGAAAACAATTAGCCGTCTCTTTCTCTCTCTCTCTCTCTCTCTCTCTCTGGATACATCACTAAACGCATTCAGAATACAATGTGAGAAAGAAGCTGGGAAAACCACGAACATACTGCGTAACAACGAACCATTCCCTCAACGCCAGCCAGTTGGGTGAAGGAAGCAGATAGAGCGCTCCTGAGATGAGCCTAGGCAGTCCCCTTACAAAACGGAGAGGTGATATGATGATCCATATTAAGGTTATCAGCCTGTAAGCTAATATGGGATCGATATTTGGTCCATCATACTATTATGTACTAGTTAATATACTAGTGAACACATTCGCTTGTGTGTTCCCTTTCGATTTGTGATTATCGTTGCCCTGCAGCCATGCGATTCACTATTAAGCAAAATAATTTAGGCAAAAAATATAAACAACCAGACGACCTGTAAAGGGACACTGGGCCTTTCACACGAAAAAGACACCACACATGGTAGGCTGGTGTGAAAAAACGTATATGAATGTGAATGTCAAACATACCAAAATATTTCTTAATATTCCCATCGTTCTCGTATACTGCAACAACACCCGGTTTAAGACAACCAACTGTAGGGACGTGTTCTGGTAAAACACCAAATCGACCAGTTAAAGTTGGTACATCAACTTGTTTTACGACTACATTGTTATAAAATGCCTGACCAGATGAAGCAAATGTCAGCTTTAATTCTGCTAAGCGTTTTGTCGATGTTTGGACATTACGTAGTTGGTTTACAATTGGAAGGGTTGCGATCCTTTTGAATAACTGAAATAGAAGATTAACATGAAGAACACGTTATTTCTTTTGTCAATAAGTCAACTAGAAATAAGCACTTAGATAAATTTCAACAAGTACACTGATATGAACTCAGTTTAAAGACAAACCATTCAAAATTGTTAGCACGAAACATCCGAAATTAAAACATATTTCCGAAATACAGTTCAGCATAAGAACATACATTTTGTCCCGTGGAGTCAGTGCGGAGTAATGAGAATAGATTCAAATATCTCTGACACACAAAGAAAGCAGAAAGAAAGAAGTATCTTATGAAATTTTAAGAGAACGTTGTCAATGGTCATAAGATACACAAAACTACACAATTGTGACTGCCAACTGCATTCTGCCTTATTTTGACACCATTTGTCTTCAGCAATTACAGCATGAACTGTTCAGACCTAAAATGCATCCTGATTGACTACTTTCAACGTAGAACTTTCCACCGATGTGCAGCAGCAGTCTGAGACGCCACACTTCACTTACCACACAAAGCAAGAGAAGTAAAAACAGATTCAGAACAGAGACAATGAACAGAGATATGAGGCAAAAAGAATAGTAATATCTACGAACAATATGATTTTATTGGATATTATAAGTCACAAGGAGTGGATATATCTGCACCAACCAGCGATCACTTTGAAACAGCCATATTACCAACTGTCTCCAGTCTTCGTTGGTTCTTACTACCATCTCGAGGACAGTAAGTAAGGAAGCCTACACATTCTTACGTGGCTGGTTGGCTTAAGCTAACTGTTGTGGATTTCACTGACTGATGAAGCTATATTCTGCTCTGACCACCACTAGCTAGTTCTTTCTCAACCTGATCCATCTTATGTCAGTCAGCAACCTTGCCCATTTTCGAGGAAGGTGATGGCTGGGCAGGCATGCGTAGCACATGTCTTAACCATCTGTCTCAATCAATGTAACTGCTTCACAACCTCGTCTATTGATTTACCTTACCTCAATATTGCTCACCCTATTACACCACCACCCAACACGGGAGATAGAATGATCGAAGACAGCTAGTCAGCAAGCCTTTTCATTTTTATTTCACTGTCAATGGCCAGGTCTTATACCTAGCCATAAAGGGGGACAGAGCGGACTTCTGAACAGTACACATGCCCTTTGGTCGACACCCAGCCAGCCAACCAGATATCACGTCTACTAAGCCAGAGGCGGAGTAAACTGGCATATGCAAAACGAGCCATCTATATCCGCGCTGGGATTTCGTCAGCTATCAACCCGTTGGGGCTGAATACATCCACCACACACTGAGGTCAGCAGAGCCATTACTGTGACTAATCTGCACCATCAAGTTTAGAACTTATTATACTAGTAGTGTTCTTCAGAAGACAGTTTACAGTTCACAAACTCTGGATACATCCTGTAACATACATCTCACGTTATAATGTAACACGTAACAGCCAGAATTAAACCATAGGTTTCTAAACACAACTAGAATGTAGCTAAAGAATCTATCTGATGCTGCACACTTTACATACCAGTTATATACAAATTTTCTATAAATAGTCTGACAGAGGCCTTATTTATAGAAAGTGAAAATTAATATTACAAAAAAACACTTATCATCGAAAAGAACAGTCGGTATTATTAGATACAACCTTGAAACTAAGAATCCACTCTTTCAGATAAATTCTACTTCAAGTTGATTTGTCAAGCACCGCACGAGATTTTTTCCCATCTTAATAAGCTTTAATTGGCTCATTTTAGTTTGAATATCATTTGTTTCTTCTACTGCCACATGAAACTATTAGTTCGAGTAACATGGTGAGATAAATGATGGGATTGGTACATGAACACTAGTTACTAGTGTCCAATAAAAGTATCCACTAGTCAGTCGCGAGCCCGAATAGCTCAGTGGTAACGTCTCTAACTGCAGCACTGCGTGAAACGGGTTCGAATCACAGAATGGACGTGAATCACTTCAAGGTTGCAGATACACCCCACTGACGAGTACCGACCAGCGCAAAACCTAGGTACAAGGCTTCCTGCCGATTGCGCCCAACCACCTAATACCGTCAGGTCCCAAATTATTGAAGGAATAATGACTGCAAGAAAAGCACTGTGTAACAGTATGTGAAGTGTAAAGCTCATCAAAATAGATCAGTGCTCAAAGAAGTCAGTTACTTAATGACCCGATCTTAACAGACTACATCTCTTTGACCATTAAACCACATACCGATTGCATCTATCGTCGGGGTAGCTGTTATCTGTTTCGGAAATTAGTTTTATTTATCGGTCACTCTCAGAGATAACCTGCCTCCAAAACGTGACTGTCTGACAACTCTTTGTCGGAATCAGGGACGACACTGAATTGCTGACTACTAATTCACAAAAATCAACACTATCAAAACCAACTAGGATACTCTGATATTTTCTAATTAGTTTCAGTCTAAAAGATGAGGAAGCGTCTTACACTGGCACACAAGAGTTGGACGATGTAATGATAGAATGTTAATCAACTGAAAATGCCTACAGAGCTTCGAACGCAGTGGGCGTATTAAAAAAATGACCATTGTGGTACGATGTTATATGCGATGGGACACATAAACCTCTTCATCAGATTGTGAGGCGCCTATATCAACCCAAATAAACGAAAAACCTTCTGTTCACTGTAGAACTAGGATTCGCACGAGAATATACCACACAAAAGATGGGTTAAGAAACCATTCTCACCATCTGGCGCGTAACGAAAAAGTTGAAATAAGCGGACTGAACACTAAAAGCAAACAACTGAAACTTCATTTCAACTTGTAAAGAATTGGAAGCATCACGTACTTTGAGGAATCGCCTGAATTTCGTCATTTATCAAGATACCAATGATGAAAGTACATAAACCATTACTAAAGTAATCATTTTGATGATTTTATTCATAGGTTTGTATTCATGGTGTATGAAATAAAATTTATTCTGCTGTAGTGCTTTTAGTTTAGAAGATTGATCTACTTTGCAATCCATAAGATAAATAATAATAAAGGCTGCAGATAAATCATATCATCTCGATATAACCTCTCTATAACGACGACGAATACCTCATCTTTTGTAAGCTGAACAAGCTGTCATGAATGGTAAAGAAATTCTCTAAATGCAGGTCTGTTCGGTGCGCTACATATTGCGGAACTATCACAGTCACCTTAATAACTCTCTCCTTAAATTCACTTACATCCTTACTCTCAAGGGAGAAAACCCAATGCTAGGTAAGTACTATGCCTGTGACCAGGTGAATACCCAGACGAATTCTGTTTTATAGGAAACTTCTACTGGGACTTGATCAAGTGCAATACTAGCCCTATAAAAAATTATTAATAACTGATTTAAGGCGGCCAGCCAAACCCACGCTTGCATAAACCCACCAGTAAGCTGAAAATGAGAGAACATATGCGTAGAAATGAAATCATGATTTGGGCTCAGCATGGTTTCTGGTACTTTGCTTCATGAACTTCCAGCCTGCTATCGGCTTGAAACAGTTGAAGTACATGTTGGAACTAAAAAATCACTCTACATATGCGGTGCCTATTGTGGAATATCCACGAAACATGGACACGACCCGTCGTTTCCTCTGATTAAAACTTGAAGAGCAGAGAAGTTTGCGGATAGGGAAATTCCATGTGCTCTATCTTATGAGTGTGTGAAGGCCTGGCCACTATAAATAATTGGTCCGCATGATACATACTGACATTCATGTAAATAAACGACATTCATCTTTGTCCACCTTGAAGTGGCCCAAAACGTCCTCCAGCTGACTATGTGAGACTAAACATAGCAGCAGCCAGATCTTGGACTACTTCTCAGAAAAACTGAGTATAAATACCAACGGTGTGAATGTGGCTAAGGCTAATACAAATCCGCTTATCGTTCAGCCAGTTAGGTGCACTTGAGCCACACCGCCCACAAAAATATATGTAAAACATTTGCCTCCGCGTATGGAATTCCGTTACTACATCCCTATTCTGAAGAAAGATGGCAATTCCTCTGGGAATGAGTAAGGTATAGCGATTAAATCCATCACTGTGGTAAAACAAACCTCCTACGCTTGACCGTGAAGTGTGGAGCAGTTTACTTTCGCCTATATAAGGGCAAAACGGCTAGTCAGATCGTTAATGAGTACACCTTTCAGCAGCTGTTAGTGTTATATTCCCCTCTCGCTAGTTGGGCAGTGTTAAGAATAACCTGGCCACCACACAAGGTGGGTAAAGCCAGGATCAGCATATGGTGTCACCAGAGCTCGGGTCTAGTAGGATATATGGCCATGCTCTAGTCGTGAGGGGTATTTCTGGTCGAAACCAAGTGTGAATCACCCACGTAGCCCAACCAATTGGTTTCCTAGAAAACGACTGCAAAATCTGATAATTGGTGACAACATAAGGAACAGTGCGATACACTTGACCAGGGACATGTTATGGAGGAGTGATTGCTGGGCTCTTTGGGAAAAACCAAAGGAGTTCCTTATCTCGGAGTGGTAATACAGATTCAGTTCATTTCATTTCCCCTTGGAATTTGTTATTCGTAGAATTCATTTCCAATTGTGACTGCTACATCTTTCACATATGGCAGCTTTAGCAGATGACCAGGCTCTGTAGCTACCTTCGTGAGACTTTTCCTGTTTTTGTCCTTTTTGTTCACACATTTCTTCACTGTATTTTCTGTTTTATTTTTTCTTTACCGTCCCGTATTTTGATATTTTATTCCTTTGACTTCTCTATATCTGAAACACCCATGGGATCGCCCATATCCAACTGATTGCATGTGCAGTGGTGCAAAGGCTGAAAAACACACTCCTACCACAGATGAAACCCAAAATTTCGATTCATTAAGTAGATGAGGCATTTTTAATAGTCGAAGGAAACAAGATGGACAAAACTCACAGCTTAATAAGCAATCTTTTCGACGACATTAAATTCACATGAGAAGAGGAATCCGAGAACAAAATCCCATTTTTGGACGTCTGAGTGAAGCGAACAAGCACAGGAAAATTGGAAACTCAAGTTTACAGAAAATGAACTTAGATCAATTACAGAATATCAACAACAGTAACAATCCAACAACACACAATTTTATCAAGAGACACACCCCCAAGCCAACCCATCAGAGGCCCCCAGAGAAAGCACAAAGAAAATCGCTCTACCATGTGTAAAGGGCATTTCAGAAATCGCGAGAAGACTCTTCAAGTGCTTGGGAAGTGACGTTGCGCAAAAACCAACAACCACCTAATCAACCAGCTGGCTGTGCGTTAACCAAAAGACAGGCAGAACAGCGAAGGAAGATAAAACCAAAATCAGTTGCAATGACTGCGAAAAACACTACATTGGCCAAGGTGAATGACCTTCCTCTTCGTCATCCATGAACATAAACTAGCTGTCAAATGATATATCTTCCACTCAATCGCTCATATCGCCTCACTGCATACAGACAACAACCACAGAGGACGTCAATTTGATTGGAAAAACCAACGTTTAAATTAATACTAGACAGGGGAAATAACACCAAGAATGCTAGAGAATTTTCAGAAGGCTGCCTGGTATTCCAGTGAATCGTCAACTAGCAATAGACACACTGACATAGACAAAACTTATCAACTGATAATAAGGAAATCTCTGACACAAAGGGTGAAAGTTCAATTCAAGGAAACAATCGGTTCCAAAACAAGTAGTCTAGACGGTGTGAAAACGCATAAAGACAACCAACCACGACGTTTGAGGTCACCCACCAGCCAGGAGAGATAACTAATAAACTCGTGGAGAAATCTGGAAGCTCACTTCAATCCAAATTTAGGTGAAGTGTGCGCTGAAGATGTTGTCCGCCTGATAGGAGGGCAATGATGGAAGTTTCACGAATAAACTATCCAGCTCAGAGAACACAACCACATCAAAATCTCTTCGTTGCGTCTTACACTGGCTTGACCGACTCACTTTTCCCACTTTCTTTCAACCAATGCCTCATTTCCGACACTATTCTTCCTTATATGGAGGAATGTCTGGTAAAAAGCGACTGTGAACTTTTCTCCTGCTGTATCCCAGAGGAAGAAAATGTGCTGCATTGGAATCTATCTAAGATCTACAGCCTTTCTATAATACCGATCATCGCTTTATAACTTTTAAATTATCATTATTGTCCCCTTGGCTTCCAATTGCAGCGGAAAGCCTCAGAAGCACAATAATAATATATTCTCTTTTTTGTACATGAGGGGCGCCAGTTTAAAGGCATCATCAATATAAGTTACCTATACAATTAGTAAGCATATTTGATAATAATTTAATAAAATACATATTAATTCCTACCTATGTAGGATACACCAGTCGTAAAGGCAGGGGTGAGTATTATTTAAATTACATAAATTTATGCATTGGTGGTGGAATTCCACAGTTGCCATCTTTTTTGTCTCAAGTTTGTGGGAAAAATCTGTTAACTAGTCATTCAGTGGAACACATCCAGAAATATAGAATTATCTCCATATAACTTTACTGCGCATGGCATCGAATCTTATTCTTGACTTACATCCAATTTCGGCGTTAATTTAAAACAAGTAATATACCTGCATAATCTTGTCAGAAATTTTGTCGTAAGTAACACCAGAAGTGAACTGTACTCAATGCACGTTAAAAATAACAGTATATGCTTCCTTATAAACTGAGTTTTACAAAAAATGTTGGCCATTTTGCAGGCATGACCAGTTATGTTACAAGTTGCAATCGTGAAATATTATAAATTAATACATTTTCATTGGTATAAAGCTGTATTCCACAAATGTAATCTAGGACGCTTCGTGGGAAATGGTAATGGGTGATTCGTGAGGCAACTGTAGGATATGGAACCACTATTGTTTGCAGATAATTTGTCATTATAAGTGGTCAAATATTTACCTTCTTTATTCGTACTCAAAATTCCATATAGAAGCTAAAATGGTGAGGGAGAAAAGATAGATGACAGCAGCGCAGAGGGAAGCAACTGGAGCCCTCAAGGAGTGATTTCTAAATTTATATATATATATTCTATGAAAGTAACTGTGATTGTTTTGGCACACTAACTAACTAGTCCCGTTATGCTGGCCTCTATATTATGTGTGAACCCACATTAATAATAATAATTATGTGTATTTTCATATAAACATAAATTTACATGAAAATGCACGGCATTTTTACAGGCACGATCAAGTGTGATATAATATCAAATCGTAGATTGTCTACGAGTTAATAATGTTTTAACGGTTAAACATTTGATATATATATATATACACTCATTGTCTGAACCAGGCCGTATAGTTATTGAATTGTACAGTTGTCCTCCAGGTTGGGCAGGAAATTCGACTTCGTTTCGTTTTCATCCCGTGTTTGTTTTTACACGAAAACCCAAAAAAATTTGAGGTAAGTACAACGTTTACAAGGGATTGAAAGCTGTTTTAGAAAAGTAAAGTGTTAAGGTGAATCTTCAAAGTGTAATGAAATAGGTAAGTGCGAGTATCATTAATAAATGCATTTATAAAGGAAAATCCTTAGGCTGACAACGTTCATTTGCAATGTATAATGCTGCCCATATAGGTCTTACTATCATGATGCCCACTTTTGGTTTTAATACATTTATCTTCATGCCGGCTGTTTTTATTTCATACCTTTTTGTGCATTTAGTGCACAACCGTACCCTACAGAGAATAGGAATAGAATGAGTCTAGCCAAATTCATATAGAGCTGTAAAATTTTAGGCTTAATGGAATGTAATGAGGATCAAGTAAAGAAGTTATTAGAAAATAAATGAAATGAGACATTGTGAAGTGGTATTTAAAGATCTGACGATGGACAGCAAGTTAATTT